TGTTTCAGTGCTTTTACACTGAGAATGAATTCCCTCATTGTTGCAGCACAGGATTCCAACCTTCTTTCTCTGAGCAGAATTATGAGCATTTTTCTTCTACTTCCATTTCAAAAAAAAAAAAACAGATTGGTTTGGAGAGTGCTTCCATTATCTTAAAAGAAATATCTGCCAAACAGGTAACAACTCAGCAAAATCAAATAAAACCTAATGTAAGTGTGGATCGTTATGTTCTGAAATTGGACTATTAGTAGGCCATTTAATTCTGAGCATGCATGTAGTAATTTTTCCTTATCTCCTATTCTTCATTACAACCTTACAAAATAGGTATGACTGCATTTTTCAAATGGAGAACTGGGAATTATCTTTCCCTAGCAACAGTTCTGTTAGACAATGGATGAATGAATGTGCAGGAGAAACTTCCGTCTTCCAAATTATGATCTCAACCCTTGAACAAATGACCTTCAAAAACAGTTTGCATTTTTTTGTGTCAGGAGCAACTTGAGAAACTACAAGTCGCTTCTGGTGTGAGAGAATTGGCTGTCTGCAAGGACATTGCCCAGGGGATGCCTGGATGTTTGATGTTTTATCATCTTTGTGGGAGGCTTCTCTCATGGGGAGCTGGAGCTAACAGAGTGAGCTCAACCCGCTTTCCCCAGATTCGAACCGCTGACCTGTCACTCCGCAGTCCTGCCAGCACAAGAGTTTAAGTCAATGTGCCACTGGGGGGCTCCGATTTCAATATGAAATCACTGTAGAACAATCCATCAAGAGATTCAGGTCATAGAACCAGAGTTGGAAGGGACCAACAAGTCCAACTCCTGCTCTATGCAGGATCCCCAACTAAAGCATCCCCAGGAGGGAGCTACCAAGCCTCTGAGTATGCTTGCCATAGATACAGGTGAAACATCAGGAGGGAATGCTTCTAGAACATAGCCATATAGCCCGAAAAAACCTACAACAACCCTGTGATTCCAGCCATGAAGCCTTCGACAATACATATAACAAGCCTCTTTTTGTTTTAATATGGTTTGTGTAATTGTGCTCTATTGACTTTATGATAATTTATTTTATGATTGATTGGTTATATTGCCCATTTTGCTTTGTTTATTATTTCATGCTGTTAACTGCCCTGAGTCCCCATGGAGAGAGGCGACGGGATACAAATAAAGCTTTGATTGATTGGTGTTTGATATATAACATTCAGGAAAGGAGATCTCACCACCACTGTAGACAATTGGTTCCATTGCCAAACTGCTCCTACAGCAAGGTGTTGCTTCTAATGTTCAGTCAAAATGAACTCTCTTGCAAATTAAAAAAAAATTATACCTGCTTCAACCTTGTTTAGTAACAGTCCTTGAAGAGTACAACCACGTCATCCCTCAGTCTTCTCTTCATCAAGCTGAACATGCCCAGCTCATTTAACCTTTCTTTTACCCCTTCAACCTTTCTTTCCCTCATCCAGTAATCGTGTGTTTGTGTGTGTGTGTGTGGGAGGACGGGGTGGCCTAAATGTAGAATTTTACATTTGTCTCTACTTAATTTCATTTTACTAATTGCTGCTCAATTTTCAATGAGGTTCTTCTGAATTCTGTTCTTATCTTTCAATGTGTAATCTACCCCTCCCAGCTTTGTATCATGTGCAAATTTGATACAGGTCCCCACATTACATCATCTAAGTCTGTGGTTCCCAACCTTTGGTCCTCCAGGTGTTTTGGACTTCAGTTCCAAAAAATTCCAGTCAGTTTACCAGCTGTTAAGAATTGTGGGAGCTGAAGACTAAGGACCCTTCCACATAGCCATATAACCCAGAATATCAAGACCAGAAATCCCACAATACCTGCTTTGAACTGGGTTATGTGAGTCCACACTGCCATATATTCCAACTCAAAGTGGATGTGAGATTTTATTCAGCTGTGTGGAAGGGACCCAAAACACCTGGAGGACCAAAGGTTGGCAACCACTTATCTAGATCATTGGTAAAAAAAAAAAAAAGTGGAAGTGTCATGGCCCTGAGATAGAGCCCAGAGGTACTCCATTTGAGACCTCCTGCCATTGATGGTGAGTCTTTGGGCACAGTTTTCCAACCAACTATGGGTCCATCTGACAGTATTTCCATCTAGTTCACATTTACTCAGTTTGCTAATAAAAATACTATGGAGAACCTTATCTAGATAAATGACATCAACAGATTTCTCACCATCACCTAAATTTATGACTTGAACCCAAAAAAGATTACTTTTGGTAGGATTTGTTCTACTGATCACTGCATTGTCATCAATATATTTCCAAACATTCTTTCCAACATCTTTCCCCTTCTCGCCCATGTATATGTGAGAGTGTGTGTGTAAGGATATTTGCATACAAATTTGTATATAAAGCAGCAGAGGAATTTGATGAGATGGCATCCATGGGCCTTCCACATAACCCAGAATATCAAGGCAAACAATCCACAATATCTGCTTTGAACTGAATTATCTGATGGCCCTTCCAGACAGGCCTTATATCCCAGGATCTGATCCCAGGTTTTCTGCTTTAAACTGGATTATATGGGTCCGCACTGCCAGATAATCTGGAATAAACAGAAAACCTGGGATCAGATCCTGGGATATAGGACCTGTCAGGAAGGTCCCTCAGTTCACACTGCCACATAATCCAATGTGGATTTTATACAACTGTGTGGAAGGGGCCCCTGAAAACCTATCCTGGAATAATATTTCCCTTTAAGAAATCATAAGACTCTTTAGTGTCTGGTCCCCAGGCTCCCCTTTGACATTAGACTACCATTTGAAAGGTAAGTTCATTCTGTAGCATGTGTATATTATACATTACTTTTTTCAGCTTCACATTAACCCTTTTAAACTATGGCAGAACTAGCTGAGCTGCAGAAATGGACATTTTGTGAGTTTTTAGATTGTAACACCCTTGCCCGCTTGGGCTTCCAAATTCATATCCACTAGCTGCATTTTTCAACCAGCAGGTAGCCACCTAAAAGGTACAAGATCCCATCAGACCTTGAAAGCTAAGCAGGATCAGACCTGGATCATATTTGAGTGGGGAGGCTGCCAATGAACAATAGGCTATATTTGAGAAGAAGGCACTGGCAAAATCACCACTGAGAAATCCCTATGACATTTATAAGGTTCCTATAAGTCAACCTAAAGGCACATCTCCACAGAGTGCTATGACAGATGATGTAGCTCTCCTAACCTATGCAAAGGCTCATCTTGCCTGTTATGGTTGAGCGGGTGGATTCTTATGTTCGAATTTTGCCCAGGAATCATGCTATGTATTGTTCCGAATATGTTTAAAATAGCTCTGAGGCCCCTTCCACACCGCTGAATAAAATCCCACATTTTCTGCTTTCAACTGGAATATGTGGACCAGGCATGTAGCCGGGGGGGGGGGGGGGGGGGGGCTTCAGCCCCCCCCCCCAAATTCTCATGGTGGTCCGCGAGAAGGCCTTACTGGTACATTATTTAAACTGTTATGTTTATTCATATCATGATCTGATCACCATGCTCAATATATCCCATATGCATGGGGGTATTGGGGTAAAGATACAAAAGGTTTGCTAGGGTAGACCCTCTTTCACTCAGACTCAGACCCCCCCCCCCCAAAACAAACTCAGCCCCCCCCCCCCCCAAAAAAAAAAGAAAAACCAAAAACAAAATCCTGGCTACAGGCCTGATGTGGACTCAGATAACGCAGTTCAAAGCAGATATTGTGGGATTCTCTGCCTTGATATTCTGGGTTATATGGCTGTGTGGAGTGGCCAGGCAAAAGGCGGATGGTCTCCTCAGGGATAGGGAACCCAGAAGCAGGTCTGGTGGGGGCTCTTTCCTCCTCTCTCCACAGCACAGAGAGGGGGCCCAAAGGGGCTTTCTGGAGAAATGTGGGTGCTGTCTTTCCTCCTTCCCTGTGCCTCCATCAAGGGCCTATGCATTATTCAGGCTTTGTGCAGGGGGAGCCACAACGGGGAGCCTCACTTGCAAATATCCGGAGAAGCCGCAGGTGGTTTAAAAAGATTTATGAGGTGCTCCACTTCTGCCGAGGAAGGCTAATCCATAATGCTGCACCTAGTAGGGTGTGTCTTCACCAGGCATGGGCCAAAACAAGATAAATGTATTGATCTCAAACTAAGCGACCTATTACAGTAAAGGAATGGGCCAACTTGGGTCCTCCAGGTGTTTTGGACTTCAACTCCCACCATTCCTAACAGCCTCAGGCCCTTTCCTTTTCCCCCTCAGCTGCTTAAGCCTGAATAATGCATAAGCCCTCGATGGAGGCACAGGGAAAGAGAGGAGGAAAGACAGCAGGCACATTTCTCCAGAAAGCCCCTTTGGGCCCTCTCTCTGTGCTGTGGAGAGAGGAAGAAAGAGCTCCCTCCAGACCCGCTTCTGGGTTCCCTATCCCTGAGGAGACTATCTGCCTTCTGTCTAGCCACTCTGGGTCCTTCCACACAGCCATATAACTCTGGTTTTACAAGGCATCTAGGCTTCTTTGGTGCCTCACTAAACTACAACTCCCAGGATCCCATAGCATTGAGCCATAGCGGCTCAAACTGCATTCTTTCTACAGTGTAGCTGCAGATACCCTGGAGGAGGAGGAACCCTCTGTATCCCAACCACCCCGAAGAAGTGTCCTTTCTTCCAATGCTCGCCGTGGGCCCCCCTGGAGGCATGGCCTCCCTCCCTTTCTCCCTCCCTCCCGCGCGAGGGAACACATGGCCCGGCTCACGCGCGCACCGGCCCCCGCCCACGGCTGGCCCCTCGCGACCCCAAAGCACAGGCACGCGCGCACCCCTCTCGCCCCACATCACCTGCCGGGCTGGGCCTGCGGCTGCTCCGGCAAAAGGGCATGCGCAGAGCGTTGGCACGAGCTGCCCCGAGTCACATTGCGCGCTGGAAGCGAACCAAGAAGAGCCATTGCAGGGCACGGAAGACGCACACACGCGCACACGCGCGCGCGCACCCTCAGCCTCGGAAGAGAGGGTGGGAAGGGAGGGAGGGAGGGAGGGAGGACCCGGTGCTGCTGCTGCTCCCTTCATTGCCACAGAGGCTAGAGCGGGGCTCGACCCTCGCCCTGCTTCCCCGGTGACACGGGGCGGGTCTAACCGGGGGAACCAATCCCCCTCCCCCCTTTTCTATTGACTGCTCCCAAATGCCCAGCGCTCGTTCAGTGGGGAGGGCAGGAGAGAGCCGCGTCCATTGACAGAAGCGCCCCCGGCCCCGAGAAGAGGAGAGAGAAGGGGGAGGGGCGCTGAGCGGGAGGGGCGCCAGGCCGAGGTTGCCCGCTCCCCCGCGCGCGCTGGCTCGTGACGTCAGAGGAGGAGGAGGAGGCGCGCTCTCCTCCTGAGGTGGACTCTCTTCTCTTCTCTTCTCAGCCGCAACGTGGGGACCCTGGTTAGAGCTGCTACTGCGGGAAGAGTCACCTGAAAGGAGACAGAGGCCGGGGCTATTGCTGTTATTGCCGCAGAGGCTTCGGCGGAGGGGCGGGGAGGCGAGAGACGGAAGAGCGGACCTTCGCTCGGGCTCTGACGGGCGATGAGGATGGGCGCGCCTCCTGCTTCTCCTCTTCCTTCGCGTAAGTCCCCCTCCTCAGCCTGGCTCTCCATTGTGCTGCCAGGGGAGCGGCAGGTGCGGCCCTCCACGGAGAGGCACCTGGGACCCGGGAGGGGGGCTGCTCCTGCTCCGTTAGCAGAAGCCCCGCTCGCCCTTCCCCAGCCTCCCCCTCCCCCTTTGGGACATTTACTTGGCGACCGCCGCCCCCTTCTCCTCCTCTCCCCCCCCCCCTCCTCCCTCAGCCAGGCTTTGATGCGGAAGATGCCTTTCCCGGCGAGAGGGGGAAAGTGAAATCAACCCCCCTCCCCCGTTTAAAAGCCTCTCCGTGATGGAGACGGGGGGGGGGGGCGGAGGGGGGAGGAGCGGGATTAGCCCGATCCGCCTTGGGTCCACCAGACCCGCCCTCCCCTTTTTTTCCAGCCTCAATATGGCTTGCCACTGAGGAGCTGCCGCACTAGTACTGAGGCGGGCGAAAGGGAGGCGGAGGAGCCCCGAAGTGGGGTGAGATTTGCTTGGGAGGGGTGTGCGTGTGAGTGTGTGGAAGCATTGGGGGAAGGAGAAAAGACAAGAGGAAAGGCGATGTGTTGTCGAAGGCTTTCATGGCCGGAATCACTGGGTTGCTGTGAGTTTTCCGGGCTGTCTGGCCATGTTCCAGAAGCATTTTCTCCTGACATTTCGCCCACAACTATGCCAGGTGTCCTCTGAGATTGTGAGGTCTGTTGGAAACTGAGGTTTAGATATCTGTGGAAGATCCAGGCTGGGAGAAAGTACTCTTCTCTGTTGGAGGCAAGTGTGAATGCTGCAATTGATCACTTTGATTAGCCTTGCAGCTTAAAGGCCTGGCTGGTTCCTGCCTGGGGGAGTCCTTGGTTGGGAGGTGTTGTCAGGAGCATCCCGGCTGGGCAGCGAGAGGCGAGGGACTTCAGGCGAGAGAATCGCCGAGGGGGGCAGGGATGCTGCCTGTGTGTCGGGTGGGAGGGTGGGGGTGGGGGATTTCTCTCGTGGAAAGGGCCTGGCAGAGGGCGCTGTCCGAGGGGGTTGTGGCCGGACTCGGATGCAGACTGACAGAGCAGGAATAAAGGCAGGAAGAGCGGGCTCCTCCGTGGGTTGGGGCTGCTTTTGCGGGAGGGAGCCTGCAGTCACCCCCCCCTCCCACCCGGCGATCTTGTGGCTTCCCTTTCCCCTCCGCTGATTCCCCTCCCTCAAAATGAAGGGGGCGGAGCGGTGAGGTCTCCATTCGCCTTCTTCCTTCCCTTCCTTCCTTCCGGCAGGTGGAGTTCACCTGCTCTCTTTCCCCACCTGCTTTCCTCTGCTTCTTTCTCCCCGCTGCAGGCGCCCGGCCTGAGGATGCGCCGTGATGAGTCGTCGCACAAGGCGGGGGCTCGCTTGGCGTCGGCGGCCAAGGCCAGGCAGGAAGACCCCGCTGTGATGGAGGCCAGGACGGCGGCACCGCCGAGGGGCAAGGGCGGAGGCGGCAGCGGCGGGGGAGACTGCCCTCCTCCTCCTCCTGCTTCTGCAGCGTCTGCTTGTGGCCCTGCTTCTCCTGCGGGCGGGAAGGGGCTGAATCTGGACGGCACCCACCCCGCCGCCATGCCGAGGGGGCCCCGAGCCGCTCCTCCGGGCCCGAGTTTCCCCGCGCGGCCGCCCTACGCCAAGGACCCCCGCACCGTCCACCAGCGCTTCCTGAGGCGCAGCGTGGTGGACTCGGACCAAGAGGAGCCCGCCTTCGAGGCCGCCGAGCCGCCCCCGCCGCCGCCCGCCCAGAAGAAGATCCTCCTCATCTCCAAGACCCGGAGGATCATCGCGGCGGAGCGGGCCAAGGCGGCGCAGAGGCCGCGGACGGAGGAGGAGAAGGAGAAGGAGAAAGAGGCCACCCTTGCCCTCGCTCCCAAGGCGGACGGCTCAGCGGGGGGCCTCCAGCACCGCCTCTTGCCCGCGGGAGCCAAGGAGCAGAAGGAGGAGGAGGAAGAGAAGGAGAAGGAGAAGGAGCGCACCGCCGGGGAAGAGGCGGCGGCGGCAGCAGCAGCAGCATCAGCCGCGGCGGAGAAGGGCGAGGAAGAAGGGGGCGATGCCGAGAGGAAGGAGCCGCCCGAAGCCGCCAAGGACCCCAACAAGGCCAAGCGGGAGGAGGCCGCCGCCGCCGCCGCCGAGGAGGAGGAGGAAGAGGCCGACATGAAGGCCGTCGCCACCTCCCCCGACGGCAGGTTCCTCAAGTTCGACATCGAGCTGGGCCGAGGGTCTTTCAAAACCGTCTACAAGGGCCTCGACACCGAGACCTGGGTGGAAGTGGCCTGGTGCGAGCTCCAGGTAAGGAAGCCGGCCGCGCCTTCCCCAGGGTTGAAACGGGGTCGCCGCCGCCGCTGCTGAGGACAAAGTGCGCGCGTGTGATCCCGCAAAGCCTCTCGGGCGAGCTTATCTGCCTCCCCGGGGCTAACTATAGCTCCCTCGGCCTTTGCATTCATTGGCCCGGCCCTGCGCTGTGTGCCATGCATACACACCTCTGAGAGCTGTTCAGCGGTGGAACTCTCTGCCCCGGGGTGTGGGGGCAGAGAGTTAAAAGCCTCTTTCTTTGGAGGCTTTTAAGCAGAGGCTGAGGGCCATCTGTCAGGGGTGCTTTGAATGCCATTTTCCTGCTTCTTGGCAGGGGGTTGGACTGGATGGCCCACGAGATCCCTTCTATGACTCTTCTGGGGGTTCACCACCTCAAGTCCTCCTGGGTTTTTCACTGACATGGTTCAGTGCTGTGGAATCATGAGAATTGTAGTTTTACAAGGTTTTTTTTAGCCTTCTGTACAACGAGTGCTTGTTTGCTTTTGGAAATCAACTGTGCAGGCTTTACAAATGTCAGAAGGGACTTCTGAAGGATTAGGTTATGTTCACACCTATGAAACAGGCTTAGCCTGTGCTTCTAGCAGCCCTTATGGGAGAAATGGAGCAGTGAATCAGAGCACAAACTTTGTGTTTGTTTTGGAGTTCTGTCTTTCAATGCCAACACTATAGTACAGACATGGGCCAACTTGGGTCCGCAAGGTGTTTTGGACTCAACTCCCACCATTCCTCACAGCTTCAGGTCCCTTCCTTTTTCTCCTTCAGCCACTTAAGCACGCTGAAGGGGAAAAGGAAAGGGCCCAAGGCTGCTAGGAATGGTGGGAGTTGGAGTCCAAAACACCTGGAGGGCTCAAGTTGGCCCAAGGCTGCACTATAGTAGATTGCTTTCTTCATTTTGGATCAGCACATTTCTCTTGTTTTCACTGGCAGGCTGTTTGAGTTATAGGAAATGCCACACACATGCAACTATTTTCGCAAAAATAAATCCCACTGACATCTTCAGACCCTCATTGGCCAGGGCAGTCCTGCATTTACTCATTAATCAATCCCATGTTGTCCAGTGGTGGTTTATCCAAAGTACATTCTTCTATCATTGCAAATGGTGGAGAATAAGCCCCGTTGAACATTTATTGGTGGGAAGCATGATATGATAGAATTGCAATGTTAACATAGGCCCCCTTCTACACTGCCATATAAACCAGTTCACAGCAGATAATCTGGATTTTGCATTGTTGAAGGCTTTCGTGGCTGGAATCACTGGTAGGTTTTTCAGGCTATATGATCTCACAACCTCTGAGGATGCTTGCCGTAGATGCAGGCGAAACATCAGGAGAGAATGCTTCTAAAACATAGCCCGAAAAACCTACAATAACCCAACTGCAGCTCTTAGAAATGTGGATGAAATTCAAAATTTTCTGCGGAAATAGACTTAAATCTACCAAAGCTAAGTTTGTTCTCCTAGGCCTCTTCCAGACAGGCCCTATATCCCAGGATCTGATCTCAGTTTTCTGCTTTAAACTGGGTTATATTAGTCTGCACTGCCGGATAATCTGGGATAAACAGAAAACCTGGGATCAGATCCTGGGATATAGGGCCTGTCTGGAAGGGCCCCTAGTCTCAAAGGTGGTATTTATTTATTTATTTGCGACATTTATATGCAGCCCTTCTCACCCTGAAGGGGACTCAGAGCAGCTTACAAGATATAGATAGATAGATAGATATAGATAGATAGATAGAAATATAGACGTAGATATATACACACACATACATACACACATACATACATACAATACATTATACCATTAGCACAGTACAATCAATTTGCATACTGTTATTCCAGACCAACATGATTTTGTTTTTATGTTGCGTTCAGCTAAACATGAACTGATTTAATTTAAAGTCCCCCCACTTTAAAAATAGAAAGGAAGCAAAATAAGGTTTTATTTTTTTCACATATGAAGGATTTGGAGTTTAAGATTTTTAGTCTCTGACAAGCCTACCCCAATATGATAGTGTTTTGTGTTGTTTTGTTTACAACATAGCAAAGCTGTAGAGACTTTGTTAACAGTCATTGCCTTTGTTAGTAGTCATTGGCTTAATCATATGATAAGGTTCTAGACCAATGTTGGCTGCATCTGTAGATTTAATCCAGTTTCATACCACTTTGACCGACATGGTTCAGTGCCGTGAAATTATGAGAATTGTAGTTTTACAAGTTTTTTTAGCCTTCTGTGCCAAAGAGCCTCACCAAACTTCTTTTAAACGATTGCTATTCACTACAGACTTGTTTCTTCTTTACTATACACTGAAATGAAAAAAACAGATGCTGTGAACATTTCAGCTCACTTAGTTTTTCCTTGTTTATTTTTGTTGCACATTATATTTAGGACATGTGTTATATTTAGCTGTGAGTGTAGGAACTGGTTATGCCTTTTTTTCCTTTTGATCTATAAAGCCAGCATTTTTATTCTTTTTTTAATGCAGAATCCAGCCTCATGATGTCTGGGAACAGGAGTTAATGAATAGGATGGAATAGATACTTCAAATCCTGCATCAATTCCTCTGCAAACCTAGCAGTCAGCAAATGATGCATACTTTTCATTCCACTGTGATACAGTGATGACTAGATGCATATCTTTCTCATCACTTTCTCATCCCATGCAGTCCTTTCTGATTTATCATGGAGCAGCCTGACAATATTAAATAATACATTTTTATATTGGAGAGACAGTTCTGCAATATCAGAATGGTTATTTAAAAGGGGGGATGGGGATGGTGGTAGCTTAGGCCTCAATTAGTTTCCGGGGATCAAATTTAAATTGAGCCAAAAGAGTGTTGTGCTGTGTCACTGGAATTGTGTAAGTTAAAAGATGCATTAAAGAGTTTGTGAAACTAAAGTCTCTCAACAGAATTAGCACATGAAGTAGTAATATAAGTAGATCCCTTCACAGGAAGAAAGCTACTTTAATTTATTCTTAGCATTTCTATCCTGTTTCTCAATCAACATCAAAATGACATTCTTAATGTATTCTTGGATAATGCTTCAGAAATGTAATGGCGATAGTATGAGGAAATGCTTGCATAATTCAATTTAGCAAGTAAGCATTCCACATATTAATCTGATTGCTTTAATATCACGTAGCTGTAGTTGAAAAACTGTTATGTTAGCTTTATAATTTTTCTTATTTAAAACAAGATGGATGTGGATTTTAGCCAAAATCCAGTAGTGGACTTCTGAATCCCATTTCTTTTTCTGAAGTCAGCAGTAACTTCATGCATCCCACAGTTCTGTTGAGCAGGCCATTTTGCTGCAGCAGGTTGGGGCATGATAATAATAATAATTAATATTTACTGGAGTGCTTTTTTGTGTCAGAAGCGACTTGACAAACTGCAAGTCATTTCTTGTGTGAGAGAATTGGCCGTCTGCAAGACATTGCCCAGGGGACGCCTGGATGATTTATGTTTTACCATCATGTCCCTACTGGAGTGCTGCTTCACAAGGAAAAACTGCCCATGTTCCTTTGGCATTGGATTCCAATGTAAATAGTCATTGCTTGTTTTCCCTTTGTTTTCAAGCACTTAAATCTACTGCCAGTCAGTTGTATTGGCTAAACTAGTACTATTAGTTGATAGAAGTATCCATTACTTTTCATTAGGACACTCTGATAACAAACTGCAAGGATCTCCATCCTTTTTATCAAGGTGAGAATTTTCCACCTAGTTTTGGTAAATGAAGGAACTCCTTGTTGGTTATCTTTGGGTAACCCTGTTTACCTGTAATTATGAACTGGTCCCAATGATGCCGTGGGATGTAGATTAGTACCAGTGCTCCCAGGGGACTCTCACAAAACTGATGTTTTTTTTCCCCCATGCTGCATTTATCCTGCCTGTCTGATAAGCCAAAACAGTATACAAAAAGTATATTTGTTCTGATAGATAATTATTTCTTCCTGCCGTGATTGCTTTTATCAACTAAGCAAATACCTGGAATGACTTGCTTCAAAACAAATTTCTTCATTGGTTAGTCCCAAATTTGTAAACTGCAGACTCATGGTCTGATGAGTTTAGGCTGCCTGCATAAAATTTTGCCCTCAAAGGAGGGTTTTAAATGTGTGTTTGTGTGCATCGGAAGGAATATTAATAAAAATATTTTTCATATTAAGCTGTTCTTACAGTAAACCTTAGTCCAATATTTTTCTGGTTTCATCAGAACGTGATGCTTAAATACAATTTAGTGCCATGGATAAGATTCTAGGGGTTAGCTTTGTATTCTCTTCTTTTCCAACATGGCTGTGAAGATCAGTTTCGAAAAAAATTGGATTTTTTAAAAAATAATTGTGATTAGTTTTAGTGTCTTATCTGAACAAGCCAGGATTGTCATTCCTAACCTTACCAAGAGATGCTAGGAATAAGTAAAGCCATGGTATGAAGTTGGAGAATGAGAAAAGTCTGCATTAGCCTATACGTATTCCATGAATACCAGACTATGGTTTAGCATGAATTATTTTCAGGAATTTTCTCCTGTAACTCCACAGTAAGCTAAATCCAAAAACAGATTAGAGAAGTGACAGTTACTTTATAGGTTTTTTTAAATAATTTGGATGCTTCTTTTCTGAATTACCCAGTAATGTTTTATACATTTACTTCAAAAATACAAATATTCATAACTTTCATAATTCAGTAAAGTCAGTAGTATCCTGCATACCTACTCTGTTGAACAACATTATTAACTTTAATTATTCAATGTATTTTTGAAGACATCCTACAAAGTTAAATTCACCACCTTTCATCTGAGTCTACTCTCCTGTGGAGTTCTTAAAGAAGTAAACTCACAGTGATCAGTCCTGGAAACTTTATTTGGTCCTCAGATTCCTTACATTATTATTGTAAAAGAAGGTGATCAGACTTTTACAGGTGAGAACATTCTTGATAATGAGCAAAAGTTGTTTTGAAGTTAGAAACCATCACTTTCTGTTTCC